CTATATCAATTAAAATTACACGTAAAAGAAATCTTGAGTTTTCCACAAACAAATATCTTAAAATAACTTGTTTCAAAAACATATAAATCGATAAATGATACAAGATATCTAAAAGATGTCATATAAAAATATCTAATAATATCTAATAAATTCATAAAGACATCTTCAAAATTTTAAGATTTCTCTTATTATTATTACACGATTTTATTTTAATATTCTCTGAATAAAATTACTATACATTTATTTTATTTGAATACTTATTTTGATGGTTATTAATATCTGGATTAGTTTTGAAAATTAAAATTTTTTAATTTAGAAAATACATTTCTATCTATAATAAATACTTCTCTATTTTTTTTAAATTTATTATTCTTTCTTAATCTAGTATCTTTGAACGTAGTTGGTAGTTTCGCCATATTTGGGCTTAACGACATCAGCCAATCAGTAAGAAGCTAAGGATGACTCGACTTTTAATGCAGAAGTAATGCATCTATAAAAAAAAAATCCTTGGCTGTTGAACTTGTGTGCATGGTGTGCAGACATAACCTTATATTCGTTTTGCGGCATTGTATTTCTGTTATATTTTATATATAGAAGTGATAATAAATACTTAAATGTTAAATATAAAAGTCAAAAAATATGGCCGGTTTGCATTTAATACAAACTTATTCTTCCGACTCGGACGAAGACGAGCATGATGAGACGAAGAAAGATGATCATAAAATTGTAAACAAGTACATAAATTATGTTATTCATTTTAGATTAAAATTCTTTCTAAAAACCCTTTTTTTTTTATTAAAACGAAAAGCAATACTTGAAATAATCATAAAGTTATAATTCTTAAGTTTGAGGTTATAAAAAGGAAAGCATTTTGCAAACGAACACAAAATAATAATATGGTTCTTGATATAATTGTTAGTAAATAATTTAAGATTAATTATATGAGATATAATGTTAAAGTTTCGCATAATTTTTCTTTAAATATTGATACATGACGCAAGAACAAAATAATGTTGAATAAATTTATAGGTTAACTTTACCTGCAAGTATTTTATCATGGAAAGGAATTACGTGTAATGAAGAAGTGATTGATGATCCACTAGGACATGATGGACGAATACGAAGCTTTAAACATGAGCGTGGTAATTGGGCAACTCTGATTTACATAAACTGTAAGTATTTCAAATAATAGAGTATAAGGATTAATTTAAATCTTACAAGTATAAACATAGATCAAAGAATCTTTGCCTATTAAAATTATTAAGAAAAATTTAAGAAATAAGAAAAAATTTAAATTGATTTCAGATATACCCAGCGATTGTCTTCATACATGGATGAAGTCTGTGTTAAACAAACTACCTGTTCAAGGCAACATCATTTCTAGTCTTCATATTAGTCTCAGCCGTACTTTAGTTTTAAAGTTTCATTGGATTGAATCGTTTGTAGAAGGCATAAAGCTGGCGTGTCGTAACTTTAATAAATTTATCATACAACTCACAGATGTAAGGGTGTACTGCAATGAGGAGAGAACTCGTACATTCCTTGGAATTTATTGTCAAGATGAGGATAAAATGTTGAAGTGCCTAACAGAAATTTTCGATAATTTATTAGCTGAATATCAATTACCATCATTTTATAAGGTACATGAAATATTTCTTTTTTGCATTTTTGTTATATGTATTATATATATAATATGAAATAAGTAACAGATTTTATAATTTGTCTTTTGATGTCTTTCACTGTAGTCATGTTGCATGATTATGTCAGAAACAAGATATTTTAGGCCTATTGTTTTTATAGCAGAACTTCATCTTCCTTCTTTTTTTCTTCAACATGAAGAGAAAAAAAATGAATAATGCAAGAAGTTCAATTAAAAAGAACAGACCTTGTGTGAATCATAACTTAAAATGACTGCAACAAGAGACCAGAAGATTTAAATTAATTTGATATATTTTTCTTATATACAGGATACTTCATATCACATAAGTTTTTTCTGGTGCCTCGGAGACAAGCAAGCATGTTTAAAAGAAATTCTGCCACCTCTTACTAGCAATCTAAACAAATTTTTGGCAGAAAACATGGAAGATGCTTATGTGCATGTCAATGATATACAATGCAAAATTGGAAATAAATGTTATACCTTTAAATTGAAATAACAAAATTTATAAATTAGGTTATAAAATCTAGGAAATTATACAGTATCTGTTTATTAAAAAAGCAAAACTATTACTCGATTGCTTCTTTAAATTGATTGAACCTACTGATTTTTTATGGAACTTTAAAAATATAAGAGATAATTTATAAATTGTAATAGTATTGCTTTTATAAATATGTATTGTATTATAAAATATAAGTATAAATTCGTTTTAGAGATATATCTATAATTGTAAGATATATATTTTTTTAATAAATTATTTTTTGTATCAAAATTATATATATATATATACAAAATAGTTTTTCAGAACAAAACAGAAAGTCATACTGGTTTAAAAATCGCCAAGTTATGAGGCAATTTTATTACAATACCTGTACCTCGCCACAATTTAATCCAAGAATCACATAAATTTGGCTCTATACTAGCCAGTAGTGTACAAACTTCAGGATTTTGTATAAATAATCCTGCCTCTGGATTACTGACAACATTTTTACAACCGCTGACATCAATATAAGTTAACGTAGGCTGACGACTTAACAATAAGTTTATGGAGAACACAGACACATTTATATTCCCACGAAGTATTAATTTTAATAGTCTAGGCAATTGCGTTAAGATGATCTTTACATCAGCATCTGATACGTCACATAACGAAAGATCCAGCGACTCTAAGCTTGGCGCCAGGGCCACACTCGTATCCAGACTTAAGATGAAACGGTTGGAAGACAGAATATTAGACAAATTCAAATCAAACAGTTGCTTACTCAAGAAAGAAGTCGCTGCATCGCGATTTAGTTTATTCCACGAAATATCGCAGCTTGTTAGATTGGGATTGTCAAGTGGAAGATAAAAGTTTTCCAGCATACAGTAACGTAAGTTAAGAGTTTGCAAGTATCTCAAGGGCGCGATTAGCTTCCGCAGGATCTCACAGCTCTCAGAACTCAACGGATTATAACTCAGATCTAAGACTCTTAATTGAGAAGGCAACGAGTTTACTTGGCGTAAACAGGCGAAGTCAATATCACAGCCTTTTAAATAGAGCTCCTGTAGAGACGACATATTCGAGAGACATTGATATAAATGTATTCCCGCTGTCAACAAGACAGTGCCCGACAATTGTAATAGTTTAATATTCTTTTCGTATTCTAAGGTTTTTAATAATGGCACAAGCACTTCTTTATTGATATCGTCAGGTTTTACACGAAATATTGACGTATTCTCGCAGGATTTCAGGCACTTTAGCACGATTTCGCAGGGCGTCAGATTGTGAGTACAACAGGTTGTCTTGAATCGCTCGACGATGGATGGAACCTGCAGTTCGATTACTTCACACTCCAATTTATCATTCGCATTTTCTCTCGTGATTCTTAGAATACTCTCTTTCGTCACGACAGTCCCATTTATAGATTGAAACGACAATTTAACTGTACAACCGGTTTCATCGTGGAACATGCGTTCGGTAGTACTTGTAATGTACGTCAGGAACTCTTGCTCATCTTCGCAAACTGCTGCTTTTAGATTGAACACTTTATCTTTGACAAGCGTACGTAAATGTACGTACTCTTTGTCGTGCTGTTTCGAACTTATTGCAGGAGACGGTTGCAAATGAGCCACTGGAGACGGTGTACGACTGCGAGACATGGTGAATCCACTTGAGATCAAGGATATCTGTCGTTTTTTCTTACGTTTCTTAGGTTCTTCAAATAATTCAACAATGTCAGAGAAATCATCATCGCTGCCTTCGCTTGTACTAAAACCGTTCTTACTTTGACATGAACCGTTTAGTCTCAATTTTTTAGTAGTGTTCTCCAGATTTCCGTCGGAAGACTTTCGTTTGATTGTGATAGGGTGATTGTTCGTAGATTTTTTCTTCGCTGCATCTCTGATATCGTCTTCAAGCCAATCATCGACAAGAACTTGTTCTTCGTTAATTAAAGGCGTAATCGCCTTAGTTACTGCCTCATTATTGCCTTTAGATGCACTAACAGTATTAGTTTTATTAAAGGTCCGCAAGCTCGCTATTGTTCTCTTATAATCCTCACCGGCAGATATTTTTCGAATCTCGTATGTCTCGGACGATGTAGACCCTTCGTCCGAAGTTCGAACATCATTAGATCTCTTCCTTTTCTTTTTCAATGGAATAACATCCGAAAGTTCTTTATACATCGCGTCGTATTCAACTAAATGTTTGGGACTTAAATCTTCCACGCGATCTCTCCAGTCTTCCAAACAATCCAGCACAGTTTCGCCGTCGTGGGTCTTGAGCGTCACGGTTGCTCCGTGTTGTATCAAAAGGTGCATCATCGAGAAGTGTCCGCAACATGCAGCGTCGTGAAGCGGCGTTACACCTTTACAGGACGTACCGCCCGGATCATTAACATTAGCACCGTGCTTCAGAAGCAGTTTCGCAATATCTACATAACCGTGATTAGCAGCTTCGTGAAGCGGGGACCATCCATAGTTATCTCTGACATTTGTGCAATGACCGGATGACAAGAGCCTCTCAACGGCACCGATGTCACCGTTGATACATGCCACGTGGAGCTGCGTTTCACCCTTTTCATTCCTCTTGATTGCAGTTGACGTTCCCCTCCTCGATCTTCTTTTGGTGCCAACCGGCTTCGTGACACTATCTTCGGGTTCTAGATCAGACAGATCCTCCAGACAAATGTCTGCACCGATTCTATCGCTTTCCTCAGACGCTTCACTCTCTGTATCGCTCAGTGCTTCTAAAAACATTAATCCTACTTTCTGCTTTATACCCTCTGCCTCATCGAACTGGCCTACGCTTTCCAGATAACTGACGAATTCTCTTGTGGCAAACTTTTGTAGCTTAACGTTATCGCTTTCGTTCGCTGCACTCAATGCTGAAGTGTAACATTCCCGTATTTCCACATCAGCGGCATTCACCGTTATTAATAAATCCGCTAGAAATAACGCCGACCTGTATTTCTCTCGAGGATTGGTGCAAAGGTCCAATTCTCTTCGCGCGAATGGCAACGCTTCTTTGTAACGTCTTGCATCTTTGAGCGTTTGAGCCAGGCTCATTAAAGAAATACCTATCTGTTCACCAGTTTCCTCAGCGCAAGTCAACATTTGTCGATAATATTCCGCACCTTTGTCGAAGCATTGCGCGGCGACTGCTGCATCGCCTAAGGTCTCATACAGCTTCTGCTTAGTTCGAGTATCAGTCTCGACAAGAAGACTGTTTTCTGCTCGACAAATCGTTACAATAATTCTTAAATACTTTTCCACCTGATGATTAATGTCTTTTGGCAATCCAGTACTCGTATATAGGGGAACTAATACTTTACGTGTTTTAATCCACTGTCCAGTTCGCATAAATAGTTCAGCCTTTATTATTTCCGCTTCGGCTTTCAAGCGCCCGTCATTTACAGTGGCTGCAGTTTCGATATAACTTAACGCCAGCTCAAGATTGCTCTGCCGCTCGTATATAGTCGCTAAAGAAATACACGTTCGATGCAGGTCTTCCTGAAAATTATTAGATACACATAATGCAGTCGCTTGCTCGATTAGACTAATCGCCTGTTGCGTCTCTTTCTGCGCTTCCAGCGTTAAACCTAAGTTAAGTAGCAATCTCGCCCGCATCAGCGTCTTCTCTTCGACTTTGATCTCTGTGGCTGTTAATTTGTCACACAGCTCCATACTTTGCACATAAGCCATCTTCGCATTTGCCAATGCTTCATCTCGTTTCTGAGTTTTTCCGATTAAGCTCTCAGCTAAACAGAAATAAGTTCTACCTAAAGTAGCAAATGCTCGTTGCTCCTCTATCGAGTTCTTCATGTCTTTGGCACCTTCCAGATGTAAATTTTGATGTTTCAGGGCCTGTTCGTAATCTTCCAAATTCGCGTAAACCTCTCCGATCATTCTGTGTGCTATCGCACAGCTTAGTTTATCTTGTAATTGCTCACAGACAATCAGCTGTTCAGAATATTCCTGCAGAGCCTCCTTTAACCGATTGTTCTCGAAGTACATGTCCCCTAAAGTATTCGTGATTTCAGCTAATTGACGAAGATTGTTGTCACGTCTAGCATGTTGCTTTCTCTTAATGAGCTTATCGATGTTCATTTTGATAATTTTCTTTCTCTACAAAATGTCTTCTTTAAATTCCTATAAAGTATAATATATTAATTTCATCAAAAAGACATTTGATAAAGATTTAAGATATTAAGTTTGTTTTCTATAGCTGAGAACTAATGTTTACTTTTGTTAAACTAATGTTAACTTAAAACTTAAAATGAAATAGGTATATGTCTGATGCTTGACAAAAGTAAGAAAGAAAGTTCTAACGATGAATAAAAACTCTATAGAACCTGGAACCACGAATGACTTTATGCAAATCTTATAAGAGTGAAAGGCATTTATACTTCTTTCCAATATATGTATATACTATTTTACTTTAACTCTAATTAAAATTATCAACATCCATTTTTACCTCCTTGTATGTATTGTCTCTCACTCTAACTTATACTTTCTAACTCTGACCCATTTCTACCAATGTAAATTAACTTTAATCTTGAGTAATTTATTCTTTATCTTTCTCTAATCTTTCTTTATCTTTTCTTAGAACTAGAAGAAGACAAAAAATAAGTAGAGATTAAAGTTGATCTACATTAAGAGAAATGGGCGAGCGAGCGAGCGAGCGAGCGAGAGAAAGAGAGAGAGATAGTATAAGTTAGAGTGAGATATTATATATACACAAGAAGAAAATATATTCTTTTCTCTCTATATAGAATTTTGCTAAAATCGCTGGTCAGATTCTATTAAAGATCTATAGGGAAGGAATAAAAAATAGACCTATTGTTTTACCTGGAGTTTTGACAAAAATGTACCTACCTATACTATTGTTACCGTTTTGATATGTAATAAGATCTCAAAATTTTCACAATCTAAATTTATCAACACCATGAGAGGGTAATAAATTCATAAATGAATGACCTCTCTCTCTCTCCTTTTATTAAATAACATTTTTTTAATATCTTCCAATCTAATCTAATCTATTTTTCAAATAATAT